TCATTTTTAAAACAATTTCTAAAATTGCGAATTATTAATTAAAGTTCAACCTAGTTCAATGTATACAATTGCAAGATAATTTGTTTACTCAGCCAATTTGCATTCAAGTATATTTAAATATTCAAAATTGTGGGTAAATTTCTCTTTATCATCTTAAACGACTTATATAAGGTATAGTAGCACATTTTTTTTATTACTTAACAAATATATTGAAAATAAACTCAAAAAATAGGATTGTCAGGATTTTTATATTTGTATAAATAAAAAATGAATTAAATTTATTATTATTATTCTGCAGTTATTGTTATTTTTTATTTTATTTATACATAATATACATATACTTAAATTGAACGGAAGAGGAAATATTTACGGAAATCATTAACAGAAGTAAAAAAAAAATATATATATATATAAAAGTATCAAACAAATATAAAATAACAATAAATCCAATAAATAACATTAAAAATAAAGGAAAAAAAAAAACAATGAAAAAGGAAATAAGAAAAGGATATAAATTTTATTTAATTTGTTAAGATTATCTGAAAACATAATATCCTTTAACTAATTTTAAATATTTAATATTTTATAAATTACTATTTCTCTTTCTTATATATTATGTCCTTTTAATCGATATGGAATAAATCGAAATGAAAGATAAATTTCGAAATTATTTGGAAATCAATTTTGAATTTAATGAGATTTCTTTTTTCTGAAATGGACAATTATTAAGTTTAATATAATCAATATGGAAAAATAAAAATTTAATTAGAATATCTAAAGGTATTTTAGAGATTTGATAAAAATTCAGGGACGAAATGATAAAATTAGTAATTTTACTGTAATATTGTTGAGTTCTTTAGATTTCTCTAATAAGAATTTGGTTGTAAAGACAAAAAACCTAGAAATACAAATTGAGAAGTCCATAGCGAGGTTTTCTGATTTTCACAAGCTTTCAAAGCAGTAGAATCTTGCCTTTCTCATAACTCATAGTTTCTGTGCTCCTTCATATTACCAACTAAGCCAAGATTTCTGTTTAAATTTTGAAAATCTTCAATTGGGGAGTTTTATTATTTCATGAGCTACAACAGAACACCAAATTAGAAAATATTAAAAAATGAGTACATTAAAATATTAGTTGAAAATCTAAATTTATAAATTTTATAAGTTTTAAAAAAATTATCAAAATAATAAAATACATAGACAAATTTTATTGATTTGAAGTTCAAAGATGAAAGAATTTTTGATTTATAGCAAATAATCTGGCAAATTATGCATGATTTTTTTTTGTAAAATAAAAAAATGAAAAAAAAATTATTAAATTTCTTATTCAAATCAAAAGATCAAAATAGGAACAATTTCATATATAATTTCGTGAAAATAGAAAAATTTGAAGTGCCAAAATGTCTACAATATTGATAAGGTCTTTAAATTTTCTTAGAAAAATAAATTTTGTGTTCTTATGAAAAGTGAAAGTATCAAAAGAACAATTTTTATTTTTCTTTTGTGTGTGTTTGTCTCCGTTGTAAATGCTTTAAATGCCTTAAATTCTTTGATCTTAAAAAAAAATATATTTTTTTGGAATATATTTTATTGAAAAATAAAAATTTAATATTTATTGTTCTCGAAATAACCTAAGAATCTATTCGCATTTTTATTCTTAAAAAGTTAAAAAGAAAATATCAGAGGATTTTTGTTCCGCTTTAATTTTATGTTTTATGTTTTTTTTTGCTCTTTTGTAAGGATTTGTAAGGGTATTTGCTCTTTTTAATGTTCTTCTTTTTCAATTTTGGTTTAAATATTTATTAGCTTTTTAAGTATATTATACATATGAATATATAAGCAGCGTACATACATACATAAAAAAAAAACAATAATTTCCAATTCAAAATTTTTTTTACTAAATGTACAGATTGGTGTACGAACAAAGTTTTAAGGTTTTAAAAAATGATTAAAAATTTTGTGACTTGAGCTTCACAGACATAATTGTTTCAAACTAGCTAGCCGATCTCAGAAAGAAGCAGGTGGTATGTGTTTTACTTTAATTGTTCTAATGCTTTACGATACACGATAATTATTCGTTTTTTGGTTTCGTGCGTATACAAATACTTCAGAAGAATTCAGGACTCTTGAGCTACCTGCATTTGAAGCCAAATGTGAGAAGCATAAATTTTCCAAAAAACGCAAATTAAATTGTTGCATGAAACTGTTGTGGATATTGTAGCGACTGTCGTGCGCAATTGAATCGGTGGATAGAACTGTATTTAACACGTTTTCTTAGAAATTCTTTTCCGAAAGGTTTGATTTTCTAACATCTCAAGGAACAAAAGTCATAGATCTCGCCGAAACCTTTCCATAAATTCCCCGTATGACGATATTTGCTACTTTTCTATTTTGTTTGATATTTGCCGACTAACAGGGTTTGGGAGGGCTTGAAAAAATCGATTTTTTGCTATATCTTCCGAGTCTACAGGCTTTTCAATACAATTTTTCTAAAAACCATTGTGTCTTTATTGCAAAGCCGGAACTGTTTGTTTACTAACTTTACAAATTCAAACTTGAAGGATAACGCAAATAATTTACTAGTAAATCGGGCTAAATTCAGGCTTATGTTATTTTTAAATAAACTTCACTATCGCAATTCTATATCTTCCCTATATTTAATTAATTAATATGTCATTCATAAACTAACTTATATCCCTAAACATCCTGTTATATATACACATTTTTCTATATTGATTTTATTTGATAAATTTAATATACTTATTTAGAGTTTATTATAAAAGAAATATGATATAACATTAAATGAAAATAGGATTTTATATTATTGATTTGTTGTTGTTCTCTTTTTTTTTGTTTGTTTTTGTTTCTTTATAATATTATATATGCTTCTTTATATTCGATTCAATTTCTTTTTAAAAGGAACTTATATAAGAAGAATCTTATTATTATTATTGTTATTGCTATTATTTTGTGAGAACAAATCCTTATTAGGCTGAAACAATTTACTCTGTTCTATATTATATGAAAATACCCGTATATGTAAACAATATTATTAAAACTTATAATATTATTATTATGTTTTATATAACAAGTATATATTGTTAAATAAATATAGGTATTGGATATACATACATGTAAGAATCTCATTTATGTACATAATTATGTGTCTGACTCTATATATGTATATTGTGTGCATAATATTTTCCGAAAATAATTTATTTTTTCTTTTCAGTCACCGCCTCATATTTATACATCTTTTCTGAGTATTTTTCCCTACATATAAGAATAACAAACAAATTTTGATGATAAGAATATTTGTTCAGTCTTTTTGTGAATTTGGTTTTAAGGCAAAATTCAGTCAATATTATTATTAACCACTATAATATTCTTAAAAAATATTATTATTATAAATGTAAATTTATTTCGAGATTTTTTTTATGATATACACATGCATGTAGACAGAAATCTACTCCTACAAATTTTGATTAGATAAAATTTTTAAGACTATAATATAATGAAAGAGTATAATAAATTAAGAATTGATTTAAAAATATTTTTATAATAATTCAATTAACTTAATAAATGTTTTGAATTGATTTTAATTTATTTTTAATAATATTATTATTATGATATAAAATTTTAATATTTGCAATAAAATATTAATGAATCTGTATGGTTCACACTAGACGGACTAGAAAATATAAGTGTTGGTCCTAAAAGTATGCAATATTTTACAACGGAAAAAGAAATATAAAACATTTGTAAGTTTTTAAATAATTTTTTGGGCTGAATTATAAGAAATTAATTTTTAAGCGAATCTTTAATAACTTGAATGAAGAGAATGTAGTCAAACTACTAAAACTATACATATGCAAAATTTTGAAGCACATTTTCTGATTAAACCTATATAAGAGATACTATCGTTTTCGAGCAAATTTTTCAAAAGTTAAATAAGGCATGAGTAACATTCTATTCACAAAGAAAAAAAATTTATAATTTTCTGGCTTAACTATAATAGAAAAACCATTTTTAAGCGAATCTCGATTCATAAAATATTAAAAATCAAAATCTATTCTATCACAGAATAACTTCATTTCCACAGTAAAATTTCCAATGAATGCCACGAACACGCATTTGTAATTTTTCTTTTGTTTGAATAAGTTTAATCATAAAATAATAATAATAGCCTCCGTATTCTTTTAAAATTTAATCCTTTAATATCCTTTAAAGATTTTTTAAAATAAATTAATAGTTATAATTTTTTTTTTGCTATATTTTCTTCTTACGAAACATTTTTTTCATAAGAATCTAAATATACTTAAATATTCTTATTAAATCAATTAATTTAATTGAAAAATTCTGTTATATGTTGAGTTCAGTATAATATTCAATGAAGGATTAAAGGATAAACGTTAAAGAATAAATTGATAAAGGATTAAATTGAATTCAATTTAATAAGAAAATTTTCTGCTTTATTTCTACCTATATTATGTTCATATAATAAATTTAAGAAATTATTTTCATTCGATATAATTTTTCTGTATATATTGGATCCTTAACAAGTTTAATAATAATTTCTTATATTTTATAATATTAAGTTTGTGGAATATTTATTTTTTAATTTTGAAAATATACATAACAGTACCTGTTAAACTTTTTCATTTTAAAGGTAAGGCGATAGTTGAAAATGTAGTAAATTTATAAATAAAAGAAAATTTAATTGGAACATCTTGAGTACAGTGAAAGGAATTTTTATATTCAAAGTGGAATAAAATGAAAAAAATAAGGATAATGAGAATTATATCAAAGTAGAAAGCAAAATTTTTAAGAAATGCATTGAAGCAAGCTTAGAGGCAGTAAAATAATATTATATTTCCGATGTTGATTGAAAATAATATTAGTCCTATATAAATATTATATACAGACTTATTACTAAGGAAAAGTTTCTCAATTATAATATATCGTTACCTTAATTATTAATCTACGCTGAGTATCAACATTATAGCACGAACTAGTTCCCCCACATTATAATGCAAGTGTCGTCGAAAAAATTTTAATATTTTAAATAAATTTTATATTAATGTTGATTTTTCAAAAATTTTTAAAAATTTCTTTTCTTAAATATACTGAGCTGGAGGTAACTATATAGGCCTGAAGACAGATTCCATAGCTCTTTTGCTATTAATTTTTTAAGTCTATAAAGACTATGGTTGATTATTTCAATACCGTTTGAAAAAAAGTAATGTGGTCAATTCCTATGTTGGACTGGAAACTATCTTGAGAATTAACAATTTTCAATTAAATTTTTTATTATGTTGCGTTTCATATTGTCGTTGTGCTTAGCCGTCTCACTGACTGCTTAACAGTTGCATTAACCATTCTCCAAGAATTCCTACAAACATACAAATTTTGGATTTAGTTTACAAAATTTTCATTGTAAATTTTCTCAAATACATTCAAAAACTTTCAGTTCCGTTCAAAAACAAAAAAAAAAGAACTTTAGCAAAACTACAGAAACCGTTTTGATTTTTATTTAATGCTTTACTTTTTTTGTCCTGTTTTCAAATCACGTTTATATCGGGGATATGAAACGTGTTCTAAATACAAAATGATTTTTAAACAAGTTTTTTATTTTACTACATTTTTCCTTTTTTACATTTTTCGATTTCTAAACTTCACACTAAAAAATTAAATTACTATAAAATTTAATTGAATGATGGTTTTTTATTCGGTTGAAATTGCAATTCGCTTAAAGTGCATAATATTAAAAAAAAAAAAAATCGAAAATACGATGAAATTTAAGTTTTGAAAATATATTTTTCATATAAAAAGCGATGAAAATCTCAAACATATTATTATTGAGATTGCAAGGATACCATGTTTACTATTTATATAGTTAACTATATTATCCTTTTATATTAATTGAAAGAAGAAACAAAATAATAAAACTATTGGTTTCATTTTCCCCGGCTTCCAATTGAATATTGATCAAAAATTACAATTAAAAATCTCTAAAACTTTTTCATTTTTCAAAAGTTTATGGTATTCGCCACCATATATGCACAGGGACACATAAAAACCATATATGCACATAAAAAAAAATGTTTCAAAAAAGAATAAATTTTCATTTTCAAATAATAATTCTAAAATTGATTAAATATTTGGAAGAGTATCCTTTATTTTTGTTGCGTTTTATTTGAATTTGGTGCTCCTCTTTGAAAATAATGCTGATACAGTTGTTTACTTTTCTTTATATTTTCTAATAAATTTTTTAGTTTTTTAGAAGAGTTGCTATTCTGATGGTCCGAAGTTGTATATTCCTAGACTACATATATGTTTATATAGATCGGCAAGGAAAGTAAATAAAATATTTTCAATGCACTTTATTTGATTTGAAGGTGTTATTTTTTTTTTTTTTTTTGCTGTTGTTTGATGATCCTTTTTCTGCCTTCCTACAAATATTTTACTATGTATATTCATACAAATCTAATAAAAACTTTAATATTTACTCTATTTTTAGATATAGTTAGGCTCTGGTGAGAAATTCGCATCAATCAATCACATAAATTTAAATGAATGAAATCTATAATGTTTAAATTTTACATGGCTATTGAACAACTTTTTCAATAAACATTTTTTAAAAATAAAGTATAAGTAGTAAGAATTATTTTTATACATATATAAATGAATTTCATGATTAATTGAAAATGTCTGGATTTAATTTTGATATTGATGTTCTTGTATGTTATGTACATGTACATTTAATTTTGGAATTAATATAAATACACACTTGACATACACTTGAATATATAGAATATTTCGTTTCAGCAAGAACTATGTCCAATATTTCCAAAATAGGAAACAAGTTAATAATTCAGAAAGACTCAATATGTTTATAGAAGAAAAAAATTTAAAATTTTCCAGACTAAATCATTTATTATATTAGAGCATATGTGTATAGAAAAATATTCGATAGAAATGCTAATGCTGGACTAAATCACATTCAAAGAGTACAATTTTGTATTTTTGTATTGAATATTATAATAAGCTCATTTTTGTGTCACTTGCATATTGCATATTGTCTATCTACTAAACTTATTTTTGTAAGCGAAAAATGTTGTACTCTAAGATATAATTACTCTAAGATTAAAGAATATAACGTTTTAAATCCTTTACAATCCATTAATTTTCTAAAGATTATTTACTTATCTGCAAAAAAAATTGTCATCAACTTTAAAAGTACATTTAAGGAAATTATATATAATACATTATCTATATAATAATACATTATCTCTGAACTACCTATACAATTCACTCACATAATAAATACGAGTTCAAATAATACTACATATTTTCACGTGCACAAATATAGAGTATAAAATAGAAAATCAAATTTTCGATGTAATACTTATAAAATCTTTTTGATGCTGTAAAATTTGACATAACTGTTATCATTATTATTATTTTTAACTATTGTATTACTACAATAAACTAAAAGAAATGGCACATATACCACCATAATTTTTGTTTTATATGTATTATGCCATACCAATAAGTATATTATGTACATAATATACACACGTATGTGCATTTAAAATAATAACATGAAAATTTTGTTAATGAATTCCCATGTGGTAAGGATAAACAGAAAAAAAAAAAAAAGAAACGTTTGTTGATTTCAAGGGGCAGCAAAAAGAATTAAAGAAAAACAAAATTAATTCCTGCTTATACTGTTTATACATTTTGTATATTGGGTGGGCTATTTAAGAATTTATTATAAGGAACAAAATAACGGGTATATAATTCAGAAATTCTGTATAAGTAAGGCCCAGAAATCAATCAGTGGTGTAAGTCAGTAAATGTTAGTTTTGTGATAAATCCTGTTAACTAGATTACTGCAGCCGTTAGGCCTTACTGTAATACCTCGCCCAGAATCAGAGCCACCGTCAAGTACGTAAAAAAGCGGTAAATCTACCGTAGCAAGGTGTTCTGCAGGGTTGACAACTGTAGAACCTCTCCTATAAGTGAATCAATCACGAGAAAGAGACGACTAAGCACGTGCTATATAGCTGTGATGCGTTTTATAACGATAATTAGACGAAATCTGTACAGTCTGTCCACCAATAGTTGCAGCTGTCCGCTCTAATCTAAATGACGCGCGAAAAAGCCAACTGTCATCCGAACCTGCCTGCTATTGAAACCCAGGGTCCCTTTAGTTTCCAGAAAGCGCGGAATGAGCGATCTTGTTCTTGATAGACCACAGAAAGACTCGACAAAACGAAGTCAAATATCCGCTTTCTTGTTACCATGCAAACCCAAGTCTCTCCTTTTTTTTTTGTAAGTATAAGGCAACAAATTAATGTATTTTAACCTGCTTAAAACGGAATCAAGTACATTGATGCCTCCTTACAAAATACACCTGTTCAATAAGAAAACATAATATATGGATTATCCCACTCTTTACATATTTTAATAATATCATACATAATATACTCATATGACGTATTCAAAATTTGATATAGAAGAACATAAATTTTAGGCGACATTCAAACAACTTGATAGTACATGTATAAAATAAAAATTCAATGTAAAATTTTTAAGAATTATTCTGCTGTGCTTATTGTTAATGGGTTAGAAATTCCAGACTATAATGCTGGTATTATCAAAAAGATAAAAAAAAATAATAAAAAAACAAAAATAATAATTTCCTTTTCTATATTTTATTTTTATATACCTCATATGTATATATTAAGTGCCCCATGCATATAAGGGAAGAGATTGAGTAATGAGGTTTTGTTTATGACTAGACGACAAAATTAATGACCGAACTTAAATACAAAATATTTTTTATAAAATATATTTTTGATCTCTTCAATTTGGAGTATGTGGGTTTATCTACTTTTTGCTATTGTCCTTTTTTTTTATAGTTAAGTGTTTGCGTAACGGTAAGCAAACAAAAAAAAAACTTTTTATTTTTACGCAAAATAAAACTAATCCTTAATAAAGGATCATTAAATTAACTATTTTTCTAGGTACTCGTATATTATAACAGACTATATTACTATAACAATTACAGGCTTATTTTAGGGTAAAAAATTAAATTGTATTTATTTTAATTAGAAGAAATTTTTTTTCCTATAACTACATGCTTTTAAAATAGAATTTTTATGTAGACCATTAAAGGATATTCTAATGTCTGGATTCTATTTCATTAACAAATTTATTTAAATATATAATATGGATAAACTGAGATATGTATGTGAAAATTATTTTCGCCAATTTTACACCAGCTTTCCTTAAACTATTTTATTAGAATTTTTATGTTTGAATTTAATTTCTTAATGAATTTACAGTAGTTTATAATTACAGTAATATATTTACAGTAATATTAATTCTAATTTTCTATTTAGTTTGTTTTTTAGTTATAAAATTACAGTACAAAATTAAGCGGAAAATATGCGGATCAGAGAAGAAAACAATTTATCTCAAGTGTATTGGATTTGCGTTATTTATCAATAAATTTTAATGCTCCTTAAAGTAATTTATAAAAATAATTTCGGGTATAAATTCCTACATTTTTTTTTAAACTTAAATATCCTTTATCATTAAATTCTTAACAGAACTTAAATTATAATTACAGGATTTATAAAATTATCATTTTAGTGCCCGAAATCACATTTAATGAAGTTAATTAATGTTTTTCTTTTAATTCTTATTATTTTTATTTTCTAAATAATAAGTAAAAATGTAACTGCAGGTGTCTCTTGTTAACATTAAATTATTATTATATAATATGTTTTATACCACCTGTCATTTATAAAAAACAAGAAACTTTATATTAAATTTACTTTATTATCCAGAACGAAAAATAAGAAAAAAAAAAAAAAAAAACAAAAATTCATTAAATCTTCCATATAAACCTCTTCCGCCCTTCCTTCTCCTTCCAACCCAAAAATTAAACTAATTTCTAAGTAATGTTAAGAGATAAACCCCCCCCCCCCCCTCTTTTCAGTTTCTTTCTTAAAATATTATGTAAAAATGTTATAAACTTTTACATTGTCATGTAAATTAGTTTACATATGCATCGCATACCCCACTTATATATATTCAGGATATATTCAGGAATTCCTCCACCAATCCTACTTACTATACTATTCTAATATTATTCGTGTATACTCTATAAACAGATTAATGATATTTTTGTATCCCCATGCGGTATATAGTCTCAGTCATCACAAACAACACATATGTATGTAGTACTGAAAGAGAAACATAAAAAATTATAAATAATTGTAATCCTCAAACTCATATAACATTATTCTTAATCCTATGATATATGTTAATGTAAATGTGCTCATATATTTTTGTAAAAATTATTATATAGGAACACAT